ATGGGAGGGACTAAGTAAGATTTCTAATAGGAAAGTGATGTTTCATCTTCCTTGCCAAATGTTAAACGCTCGTCAAACGTGAGCGGATGGGTCGATCCCATGGTAACATATCGTCGACAGCTTGGCATACAAACATAGACCATTGCATAGGACTACTCCAATGACTGAATTTTCTGGACGAAACCGCGGCTTCGCGTGCACGACAATTCACCGGCTTCGTCACACACCTCAGCCTCGAGGAGAGCCCTTGGCCGCACGTTCGTCGTTAATGTTACCGTACCGACATACCGTCATGCTTTGCGGGTGGTCGTTCGGATAATGGAGTCGATTTTCCCGGGATTTTACTGCTGCGCCTTCTTGATAATTTACCGTGCTTTTATTCGAAAACTTTACAACTAAAACCACCTGCAGTTATGCCGCTCGACATTTGCATATACTTCAATGTTGAAATACATACCGTATGGATAAGACTTTTTTACAATATGATGAAAGTGATATCGGAGATCACAAAATCATAATAAAGACGAAGATAAAAAAAAGGGGAAGTTAAAAAAAATGCTTGTAATATTTTTTTCAAATTATGAAAGATTTCCTTTTTTATACTCTATGTCTTAGAAGAAGTTCCTGTGCATTTTAATTTCTCGCGCTTTGTACAAAGCACCTTTAGAAAATATCGACATTTTTCATATCGATAATATGTCAATTCTCTTTGTGAATATCGTGCTTGGCATAAAATTGAGAACTGAAATATCTCCGTATGAGGAATAGTTTCCTGTCATATTATACGTCAATTCAACTCCGATATTGCTTTAACTATAATATTTCCGTAGCATTGATTTGTTCCCTTTCACAAGTGAGTTGGCGGTTAAGCAGCGCGACTCCTTTGATGCTCGAGAGGGCAATCGATTTACTCACCTAGAACATTCAATTATACAAAGGGCGACCTTTGAAAAATTGTAGACCATTCAGAAGTTTAAACGTGCACGTATATTCTTGCAAGACGAGGTCGAACTTTCGACGGAAATAAACACGTACTTCCGCGGCAATCAATCTGGGGGTTGAACGAAAAAAAAAAGGATGACCCTCTTTACCTTTTTCCATCTTCCCAGTGGACGCCTAAGCTCATTTCCAACTTTCTCGTTTCTAGGTAAATTGATTTTTTTTTCGTCGCGTTCTAGGGTGAATATAAAACCACTCTAAAATGAAATACGGTCGTCCCAAGAGCGTAAATCAAATCTAATTTTGTACCAGTCAAAGACGAGCTGCCATTTGATAGTTTGAAGTTTTCCTCAATGTTGTTGTTTAATGCAAACAGCTCCAATCATATAACAGAAATTTAAAAATTGCCATGCCAATTTGAGTGAGAGGTAATACTATATTATATTAGGATTATAAGGGAACTAAAGTTAATGACTTTTTCAATCTACATATTGCTTTGATGAGAGCAGAGATGGCTTTGCAATTCTAATGAATTTTTTGTCCCCATATCATATAATTCATGTGAATTTTGAATATCACAAGTAACACATAATGAAAAGAGACGGATTGCAAAATTTAACTGTCATTCATTACATATCATAAAATTATTGTAATGTCAAAAACAGAGCTTGTTATTCAGAAATGAGTAAAATAATCTATTTAGATAAAGAGCTTACATGCTGAGCGTTGTTTATTTGTTATGTAATCCAACTTTTGAGCAACGTCGATGAATATTGGAAACATTTTAATCCTGACGCGAAGATAGGATATGAATAAAGTCCTCGCCGAGCTAATTAATCGAAATTGAGATAAAACAAAGTCTGACTTCGCCAGTAAATCCGTATCCATGAATGTATAATTTAGCAACGTGTGGCATATTTATTAGTAGTCGATTACACGAGAATGCATGCTGAGCGCGCAGATAGGTCGTTTCGCTAATAGGCTGCACATTCTCTCCGTAATTTATTTAGAGGCATATTGAATAGAGATAGAAGGAGAGAAGGAGACAGAGAAAGAAGGAGGGAGAGAGAGAGAGAGAGAGAGAGAGAGAGAGAGAGAGAGAGAGAGAGAGAGAGAGAGAGA